ATATTCTTTGACCGACTGATCGGTTGAGCGTCTGGTCTGGCCTCCTCGCACGGTTGATATTGACTCCCCGGTGGCTGCGCATGGATAGGGAGAGGAATAGGAGAGGCATCTCATGACAGATCATTGATTAGACCCTGAACTGTCTCCTTTTAATCGCTGCTCGAGAAAAGCTGGGTTAAGGGTCGTTTTGACAGGGTTATAAGGCTGGAGCTTTTCCTCCACGTCTTCTCCAGACTGTTTTGCTGTTTGTTTCACCAGTCCCTGATTTTTCTTATCGCATCGCGAACTCCCGCGCCGTTTGCCGTGATAAGAAGTTTCTTCTCGGCGTCACGTCGCATATCACATCTACACCCACACACGACATAGGTCGTCATCCACCACCCACCATGTCGTCAAATAGCCCTCCTAAAGACATGAGCAACCCTCTCACGAAACCAGACACGATTTCAGAAGACACGCGACATGTCACAGAACGAACATCACTGCTATCACCAGACCCGCAGACCGAACGAAGAGGAGGCGGACGGAGGCCCTCCAAGGTCATCTCATACCACGACGACGATTACGGGCCAGGTTGTGGCTCAGAATCCTGCATCCATGGCACCTTCGAGCCGCGCGCAATGTCAGATGCGCAGGAGCACGCTTCGTGGATGGACAAGCTGAACTCAGCACAGGGTGGCGGTGGGAGCTACGGGAGCTACGGCACTACTGGGAGCGGTGGAGGTAGCGATAGTAGCCTCACGAGCCCGAGAAGCTCGAAAAAGAGCAAGAGCAAGAGGAAATCCAGGACGATAGGAAAGGGAGATCCCAGTCTGCCGCAGCCGGGTGTGCTGGTGCCGGTGCAGACGACGGCTGGCCAGAGCGCGACGAGGACGCTGGCGTTCCATCATGGCGTTGATAATACCTGGCGATCGTGAGTGCCAACGTTCTGCCTCATGCAAGGGACGATATGCTGACTGCTGATTGACGTCTAGATACCTATCCTACTACATCCCCTTTTTAAGCTGGACGACGCAATACCGCCTCTCCTACCTGAAATCTGACTTCATTGCCGCCCTCACCATGGCCTCCATTTACATCCCCATGTCCCTCTCCTACGCGACCTCCATCGCCGGCGCACCCGCCGTCAACGGTCTCTACGCCTACGCAATCCAGCCCCTCCTCTACGCCCTCCTTGGCAGCTCCAGCATGATGGTCGTCGGCCCCGAAGCCGCCGGCTCGTTGTTAGCAGGCACCGTCGTCCGCGAGTCCCTCGGCGCCTCCCATGAACCCGACAAGCACGCCGCACACATCGTCGGCCTCGTCACGGGGTTGTCGGGCGCCATCTCCCTCGTCGCAGGCCTCACGAGGCTTGGATACCTCGACACGATCCTCAGCCGGCCCTTCCTCCGCGGCTTCATCTCCGCCATCGGCATCACCATCATCATCGACCAGTTCGTCCCCGAGCTCGGCCTCGACGATCTCGCGCGCGACAGCGGCATCACAGCCGGCAGCGCCTGGCAGAAACTTGTATTCGTTTTGCAAAACGGCTGGCAAGCCCACCGTCTTACTGCTGGCGTCGCAACCGCGAGCTTCGCGCTGTGTTTTGTGTTCAAGTACCTCAAGCGTCTGCTGCAGCCGCACTTCCACTGGGTCATGTACTTCCCCGACCGCTTCCTGATCGTCGTCGCATCCGCATTACTCACGTGGAAGTTCGAGTGGGATCAACAGGGGCTCGACATCCTCGGGCCCCTCGGCGGTGAAGACGGGGAGGCTGATGCCCAGCAAGGGTACTTTGAGTTCCGCTGGCCGTTTAGCTACGCGTATATGAAGGAGGTGCATTCAGCGCTTAGCACGTCGTTCATTATTGCGCTGCTCGGGTTCTTTGAGAGTTCCGTTGCGAGTAAGGGGTTGGAGGAGGGTGCTGCTGCCGCGGAGGTTGCTAGGAGTCGTTCGAACGCTAGTGAGAGGAGTGCCAGTGTCAGTGACACTGAAGGCGCGAGCAGTGAGGATGACGACGCCACGAAAACTGGCGAAGATGAGGAGGAAGAAGACGATAGCAAGAAGAGTGATGGGGTTAAGACAACTGGTCTCTCCGCGAACAGAGAGCTCGTGGCGCTGGGCGTGGCGAACGTTATTGGTGGGTGCTACATGGCGCTGCCTGCGTTCGGTGGGTATGCACGCAGCAAGCTGAACGCGAGCGCGGGGGCGAAGAGTCCGGCGAGTAGTATCATGCTTGCTGGGTTGACGGTTGCGTGTATGTATTGGGTGTTGCCGTACTTTGAGTATCTACCCGTGAGTAAGCCCACGTTTTGACAAGGTTGGGCATTGCTAACGACGTCTAGACCTCCGTTCTATCATCCATGATCTCCGTGGTGGCGCTATCACTGATCGAAGAAGCACCGCACGACATCTCCTTCTTCGTGCGCGTCAAGGGCTGGTCCGAACTCAGCCTCATGCTCACCATCTTCTGCGCCACCATGTTCTATTCGCTTTACCTGGGTATCGGGCTCGGGATCGGGCTGTCCGTGCTGCAGATCATCCGCCACGCCAGCAAGCCACGCATCCAGATCCTAGGGCGCGTCAAGCACCCCCATGAAGGCGACCACGGGCACGAAACCGACCACACCCTATCAACCTCGCCTTCACCGTCGTCCCCCTCCATGCCCATGTTCGAAAACGCAGAACTCCACCCAGAGCGCGTCTCCTTCGTCGAAGGCTGCCTCATCGTCAAGATCCCCGAACCCCTAACCTTCGCAAACACCGGCGACCTCAAGAACCGGCTCCGCCGCCTCGAGTTCTACGGCACCTCGTCCGCGCACCCTAGCTTGCCCCGCGTCAGACGGCCAGAGCATAATCGGAATATCATATTTGATGTCCATGGCGTCACGTCCATCGATGCCTCGGGGACGCAGGTGCTCTGCGAGATCGTGCAGGGGTATGTCGCTGCGGGCGTGAGGGTGTTTTTCTGCCGAGGACCTGATAGGGGGACGGGGGTGCTTGAGAGGTTTGAGAGGAGTGGGATTGTAGAGGTCGTTGGTGGGGAAGGGCATTTTGTGAAGGGGGTCGAGGAGGCGTTGAAGTTGACGGAGGAAGAAGAGGAGGGGGAGGAAGGGGAGCTGGATGTTTAGGTGCATTTACTGGTGTTGGCATACCTTTTATACTCTTGCATACGGATACCTGATATATAATTTTGATGAAGCCTTCGTTTTCTTCGCCAATATGCTCCTTGCCACGATTGATGCTCTTCGATATGTCTTCCCAGGGCCGTTACGTCGTTCTGATAAAAAGCTTCTGTATTCTGGAATATAAGAGTTACCAAGCATACATAAGCATGTGAAAATCCGAGTTGGTCTAGTGGTGATGATTTCCGCTTGTCACTGTTCAAAGGCAGAACGAGCGCGGGAGACCGGGGTTCGATTCCCCGACTCGGAGATATTTTTGGTCTCTTTCTTTTTTTTTTTTTCTCTCACCTTATTGCTACTCTATACATACGTGGCATCCATTACCGTTGACCAGCCGTCGACGAGAGAAGAAAGTGAAGAGCCATAAACATGATCGTTCGTAGTATTCCTCAATACATGGATGGCTAGCAACGGCCTGGCATTTGGTTGCCCCCGCATCGCACCCACAGGCACCGACAGGCAACACGAGACATTGCACACGCCGTCCATTGTTTTGTCTTGCTGTTTCTCGCTTATGGCAGGCACGAGCCAGACATTTTTTTACCCCGGTAACCGGTATCCAGAGACGATGGTTTCTGCAGGCCGACTCTGTCCGGCTGGAGGCACGAGG